GTGTTCCAGAATACTCATACTTCGCAATGTTGTCCATAGCTTGTCATGATTCACACAATGGAAAGTCTTTGCATAGTCAACAAAGCACAAGTAGACATCTCTTTGATATTCTCTGCTTTCAGCCAAGATCTATCAGACATCAGCAATGATATCCCTTGTTCCACGGCCTCTTCTGAATCTGACTTGAACCTCTGGAAGTTCTCTGTCAATGTCTGATTGTAGCCGTTTCTGTATGACCTTTAGCAAAACTTTACTCGCATGGGATATCAAAGATATTGTCCGATGATTTCCACATTCCGTTGGGTCACCTCTCTTTTGAATGGGCACAAATATGGATCTCTTCCAATCAGTCTGCCAGATGGTTGTCTTTCAAATTTCTTGGCAGAGATGAGTGAGTGCCTACTGTGCCACCTCACTTTCTTGAAAGATTTCAATTTTGATTTCATCATTTCCTGGTGCCTTGTTCTTTGCCAATTCCTTCAATGAACCTTGGACTTCCTCCTTGAGTATCATTGGCTCTTGATCATATGGTACCTCTTGAAATGGTTGAACATTAACCATTTCCTTTTGGTACAATGACTCTGTGTATTCCTTCCATCTTTTCTTGATGCATTCTGTATCGTTCAATAATTTCCCCAGAGAATCTTTCAATAACGAAAGTCGAGGCTTGAATTTTTTCTTCAGTTCCCCCAGCTTGAGAAATGCTGAGTGTGTTCTTCCCATTTGGTGTTCTGATTCCAGATCTTTGCACATTTCATTGTAATATTTGACTTTGTGTTCTTGAGCCGACCTTTGAAATTTTCTGTTCAACTCTTGGACCTCCTCATTTCTTCCATTTGCTTTAGCATCTCTGTGCTGGCGAGCAAGTTTCAGATTCTCTTTTTGACATCCATTTTGAAATGGACACGGTTGTATTCTTACCCAGCCACTGAAAGTGAACAAGGTAAGCAACAGTGTTCTATTTATGTTAATATGTAGCCATAGTTGTAAGGTTGGAGGATCAGCACTGGACTGCTAGCTACAAGGTCAACTGTTCAAACCCACCATTTAGTTACTCCTTGGAAACCCTATACTGTGGCTGTAAGTCAGAACGGACTCAGTGGCACTTAACGATAAACAGTTGTGAGGTTATGAGTCACTTAGATAGAAAGAAGTAAAATGCTATACTCTGTGTCATAGGATAGGTTATATATGTAAATATCAGGATCAGATTTGATGACAAGCAGAACATGTCTTTTTATGACATAATGATGAAAACTTTCCTTTTCCAAAAAAGACTGACTTTTTTTTTTCCCACTGAATGGGGTCTCTTGCTTTTTGAAATGTGGCTAATGAGGAGCCCTAAAATAAAATGTGCTTAGCAAAAGTGGACTAAGTAGCTGTAGGATTTTATAATACTATTGCTAATGTTTATTTAAACCAGCAGTTGTGCGCCGGCTCCAGAAATGGTCATTCCTCCCCTGTTCTCAGTTCCGCTGACTCCATCATCCAGAGCAGGTTGATGGGTTCCTACAATTACTAGGGCACAAGGTTGGTGGTGCAAACACAGGAGCCCAGAAACCCTATACAAGGTCACTATGAGTTGGAACAAACGCGGCGGCAGTCAGTAACAACAAACCCTTTAAAGATGGCACTGTGTCAGAAGTGCCCAGCTACTGGCTTATAAGCTGGTGGTTTGGACCCACCAGCGGCTACTCAGGAGAAGGACAAGACAGTAGCCTTCTTTCCCAAAGATTTGCAGTCTTGGAAGCCCTAGGGGACAGCGCTCTGTCCTAAAAGGTTGCTGTATGTCCGAAGCCACCCAACAGGAGTGGGAGTAAGCCTTTGAATTGTGGGATTGGTTATGACTTGCTTACTTCTCATTACTTGTACATTCTCTAACACCGCCCACCCCCAAAGTCAATCGCACTGCATCGAGTGGAGCCCAAGTCATAGTGACCATGTTGGGCACTTGTCCTCATGGGCACACAGCCTCATGCTCTCCTGTGGGGCAGTGGGTGTGTCCACACCACCCTCCCCCTGCTCAGCAGCCCAGTGCCGAACCAACGGCATCGCCACCCTACCTAGCTCCACTCGCTGTTGTGGCTGTCAAGTGTTCTTGAGTCCTTTCCAACTCATAACGACCCTGGATAGGGTTTCCAAGGAGCAGCTGGTGGGTTGGAGGCGCCGATCATTTAGTGAGTAGTCCAGCGCTTCTCCCACAGTGCCACACCAGAACGCCGGAGTTACTCTAAGTGCCGTGGAGTTGATAGTGAGTCACAGTGCCCCTCTGCACAACAGAACAAAGGGGGCTGCCCGGTCCTGGGCCAGCCTCACGATCACGTCTATGCTTGAGTTCATTGCTGTCCGTGCCAATCCATCTCATTAAGGATCTTCCTCTTGTTTGCTCACCTTCCCCTTTCCTTCTCCAGGGACTGGTCCCACTTGGCTGTTGTTGTTAAGGATTGCCCAGTCGGTTCCGACTCATAACAACCCTGTATAGGGTTTCCAAATAGCAGCTGGTGGATATGAACCGCCGACTTTGCGGTCAGTGCCATGCCAGGACTCCTCTCTAGGTATCTATAAATAGTTATGTCTGTTTGATATTGAGATCTCGGGCTAAGAGATTTTCTGGCTGAAGTCTAGGCATAAGATTTGTGTTTTTTATATTTCTTGGCAATTCGACCAAATATTAGTGCCTTGTTCGTGCTGAACTAAAAACTGAAAGGTGGGTGGTTTGAATCCACCCAGCAGCACTGCAGAAGAAAAGCCTGGCTATCTAGAACTCTAAGATTGGTGCCAGGCAGATGCTGGCTCATGGTGACCCCATGTGGTGTAGAGTAGAACTTCTTCTTAAGGTTTTTCTTGTTAAGTGCCATCGAGTCGGTTCCAACCCATAGCGACTCTGTATAAAATTTCCAAGGAGCAGCTGGTGAACTTGAACCACCGACCTTGTGGTTCAAACTGACTTTGTAGTCTAGCGCATCAGCCCACAGTGGCACCCCAGGACTCCAGGGTTTCCTTGGATGTCATCTTAATGACAGCAGACCAGCAGACCTGTCCTGTTGGATACCAGTGGGTGGGTTTGAACTGCCATCTGTCAGGTGAGCAAGTGAGCAAGAAATGGTTAGGGCCACTTACAGGCCTTTCCATCAGGTCCCGGCCATCAGGAGCACTGCAGAGTGCGCTTCTGCTCTCACACATGGGTCCCCCTGAGACAGGGCCAATTTGATGGCAGTGGGATTGATTGGTCGGCTGAATCTCAAAACCAAGTCAGTGCTTGGGACAAGGCATATGGCAACATAGTATCCTCCTAAAAAAGAGTGGGGGAGCCGTTCAGAAATCACTAGGTGTGTGTCATGTCTGTAACTTTCCTAGGGGTCCTGGTGTGGCGCCTGGTAGGACCAGCACTTGGCTGCAAGGTCGGCAATTCAAACTCACCAGCAGCTCCTCGGTAACCGTACGTGGGGTCACTGTGGGTCGGAGGAACCGACTCAACAGCACTTAGAACAACAACATGACATCTCTAGAATTTAAAAAGGCAGCAAAATGGAAAAGAGTTTAGAAATCCAGCGTCGTCTGAGGTTGCATCAGAGCGTTTATGGAAGAACTCCATTTATTCAGTCCCATTTTCCCATGAACTTTCTGAAGGAAGCCCCCTCATCTTTCTGCAGCACCTTTCCACGCATTTTCTGCATGTGTATCGTGCCGAGCATGTAGGGTGGTAGGGTGGGGGACTGGAAGGGCAGCCCTAGGTCTGTTTTCCACCCCTTTCTCTTCCTTGGTATGCTCAAGACTGCTCAGTTATTAGGGTGGTGGGCCCCCTGTGTGCGTCCTCTCCCCAAAGAGCAGGGCCTTTTCTTGTTAGGTTTCACATGTCTTTATTCCACCAGTTCTTGGTGTTTCTCAGTGTTCAAGAAGACCCAGTCTAGCTTACTCAGTAAAACAGTACTCAAATCAAAACAAAAAACAAGCTGCAGGTACTATCTGTGACTCGTACTGTATCAAGTGCCAACAGTAAGATTCCAAAAAGCATTTTGTAACGATTGTATTTGCTTCTTGTGCCCTCTCTTCGCTCAGAAAAGGATTATACCAGCCTTTGTGACAAGCAGCCCATTGGGAGACTTCTCTTCAGGCAATTCTGTGAGACCAGACTGGACCTAACGCGGTACATTGCATTCTTGGATGCTGTGGTAAGCAGCTTCTCTCTGCCCCATCCTGTGCTTTCAAAAAGTTGAAAACTCAGACTGGAGGGAGCCCTGTGAGTGAACACATGAGACCTTGGTGGTGATAACTGGGTGGAGAAAGGGGTTGCCTTGGTGCAGTTGCCCTGGGTCCACTGCCGTGGTCCATGGAGCGTCGCAGGTACTGCTGAGGAACATGCTGCCACCCCTACGTCAGTGTGTCATACTGTGGTGGCTTATGTGTTGTTGTGTCTTAAATAACAGAAGTCACCCATGGGGGACAGGCTTCAGCGGACCTACCAGACTAAGACAGACTAGGAAGAAGGTGAAGCGGACCACTTCTGAAAGTTTAGCCACTGAAGATCGTATTGATGGCAGCTGAACGTTGTCAGCTACAGTGCCAGAAGATGAGCCCCTCAGGTTGGAAGGCACGCAAATGTGACTGGGGAAGAGCGGCCTCCTCAGGTAGAGTTGACCGTGATGTGATAGCTTGAGAAACAGCTGCAAATACCCATTAATAATTACAACATGCCATGTATGAAGTATGAATCTAAGAAAACTGTAAGTTGTCAACAGTGAAATGGGACGCATGGAGCTCAGTATCCTGGGCATTACTGAATTGAAATAGACTGGTACTGGCCATTTGGAATCAGAAAATCCTTTGGTTTGCTCTGCTAGGAATGACAAATTTAGGAAGAATGGTGTTAACTTTATCGTCAAAAAGAACATTTCAAGATCTATCTTAAAGTGTAATGCTATTTAAAATTTTTCAAGACCAATGATATATTCATGTAAATACCATTTTTTTTTAAACAATATAAAAGGCACCTATATACATGGACCTCACCATATGGAATACACAGAAATCAAACTGACTATATCTGTGGGAAGAGACAGTGGAGACGCTTCATATCATCGGTTAAAACAAGGCCAGGGGCAGACTGCGGAAGAGACCATCAACTGCTCATGTGCAAGTTCAGACTGAAGCTGAAGAAAATGAAAACAAGTCCAAGAGAAGCCAAATTATGCCCTTGGACCTATCCCACCTAAATTTAGAGACCATCTCAAGAACAGATTTGATGCATTAGAAACTAGTGACTGAAGATCAGAAGAGCTGTAGTGGACATCAGAAAGCAAAAGGTCATCGAGAAGGCAGGAAGGGAAGAAAAGGCCAAAATGAATGTCAGAAGACACTGATACATGCTGTCCAGCATAGAGATGCTAAAGCAAATGGAAGGGGAGGCGGGGCTTGCTGGAAGCTAGGGTAGTGGTGCAGTGAAGATCTCTGTCAGCAATAACACAGAACACCAGGTGAAGCGGCTTCAGGGAAGAGCTCCAATATTCTGAACCACATAGGTAGTGATATTTTAAAAGTTTGAAGGCTTATAGCTAGTGAAACTTGTAGCAGAAGTAAGAAATCTCCAACTTTAGAGTCTGCTGGGCTCAGCAGCCCGGAGCCAACAACTTGGGCAAGACCACAGGGCAAGACCAAGCCAGGGGTGGGGAGGCAACCAGACCCATCACAGACTAATTCCTACGGGAACCTGGGAGACAAAGGTGGACAATTTCTTTATTTTGTTTTGATTTTTTTTTTTTGTTTTTTTGGTATCTGTTCATTGGCCTCTCACTCTCTATGCACCTCCATTCTGGTGACTAGAGGGGGTGCCTGAGCAAGTAGACACCCCACACCCCCACCACTAGATGGTTCTTCTACCATGTATGCACACAGATCCTCTTAGCCCTTAAAGGGCCAGTCCCCGCTTAAACCAACCAGCAGTGCAAAAGGGCCACAGCCAGCCCTGAACTGTTTATTAATAGGGAAAAGGCCAGAACAGGCCTTGTGGAGTAGGAGAGAGTCTAAAACCAAAACAGGCTGAAAATTAAATC